GCTATTATCTAACAGGTGTTTATGTAGAAGGGTAAACCAGATAGCTATTATCTAACAGGTGTTTATGTAGAAGGGTAAATCAGATATCGATTATTTAACAGGTGTTAATGTAGAAGGGTAAACCAGATAACCATTATTTAACATGTGTTTATGTAGAAGGGTAAACCAGATAGCCATTATTTAACACGTGTTTATGTAGAAGGGTAAACTAGATAACCATTATTTAACAGGTGTTTACGTAGAAGGGTAATTTCTTCGTGTAAAATAAAATAATTAGAACAAACATTAAAAATTCTGTTCAATAATGATATAACCAGATTACGTTTGAAGAAGTTTGGGATAAAACTATTGAAATTGGTGTAGATTTTGCTGAAGATGGAATAAGTTATGTTCGAAACTTGGAAATAAAATGTTTTATCAACCGTCTTTACCTTCAATTATTAATTTTGGAGTTTATATATATTAGTTAGACCTTGAAAAGTCTGAGATTTCAGAACTAGTAATTCACCTTGTATGTTGCTAAACCTGTTTTCAACTTAACTTTTGAAAATACTGTATATATATTTTTTCTCTTAGATTCCTTTGCCTAGTAAACCAGCGTGGTACTTGATTTTTGGTGTGATTGAAAAGGACATTAAAGATATCTGTTTGACAATACTTGCTTTGTACACAAGAAGAAAGGTTAGTAAAATATGCTGATAACATATTACGTTATGTAGATTAATGTCAACAGGGTTAAACAGGCACGGCAGTTTATACACACCAGAACAGTGACAAGCTACTACATCAGACAGTTTACACACTAGAACAATGACAAACTATTACATCAGACAGTTTATACACACTAGAACAATGACAAACTATTACACCAGACAGTTTACACACACTAGAACAATGACAAGCTATTACATCAGACAGTTTATACACACTAGAACAATGACAAGCTATTACATCAGACAGTTTATACACACTAGAACAATGACAAGCTATTACATCAGACAGTTTATACACACTAGAACAATGACAAGCTATTACATCAGACAGTTTATACACACTAGAACAATGACAAGCTATTACATCAGACAGTTTATACACTAGAACAATGACAAGCTATTACATCAGACAGTTTACACACACTAGAACAGTGACAAACTATTACATCAGACAGTTTACACACTAGATATTTCAGAGTTCATACATAATATGCTACATCCATTATAACTTTTAAACATTATTTTCACCTGTAATGTTCAAGATTTACTGTGAAACAGTACTAACAATGTTACGTGAACAAGATTTTTATAATATCTGATAATGAAATTCAAATTTGTTTTTAATATTTTTGTAATTCCAAAACTAAAGTGAAAAAAAAAACATCAGAAAATGTTTAAATACTTTTATTTACATTTTTTATAGTCTGATCCAGACCGTTTGGAAAAAATTGTGGATGAACTGAAAAAAGCTCAACTTGAAGCAAAATTACAAGCTAAAGGAATATCTGGCAACACTACACCTATACTAAATAATGCTAGCTTTTCTCCTGGTTCAAAAAACAGTAAGTTCCTTTTCCCACAGTCTTCTGTGTTTTAGTGTTGTTGTCTTATATTTGAAAATAACTTTTCCAGTTGTAGCTTTAATACAAGTGATTGGGGTGTTAAACAAATTTTAATACATTGTACGTAATTAAATCCACTTGATTTTATCTAACACAGTAGTGCAATTAGTGTTAAAAGTATGGACATCATTCAGTTTATACAAAATCCCTAAATTTATTTTACACTTGTAGTAGCAGTAAGATTTTTGTATTTTGTAGATTCTCCAGGACATGGGCAGTCACCAGTTGTAAATACTAAAGAAAACTCCAATGGAAATGAAGTTCTTTGAAGTAAGTATCTTTTGTTGTAGTGTACTGGGATAAACATGGTATTTTTATTAAAAGAAACTAAACACTTTGTGTGCATGGGAACGTGAAGTCTGAATGTAGACAGTAGTTTCTAATCCTTGCCTCTTGACTGTTAGCAAGTAAAACAGTCACAAACCAGAAAATTTCTGGTTCTTCATTATATCTTACCAATTATCAGATATAATTTATTGTGATTAATGTTAATTCAGTAAATGTGTTTAATCATGAGACAATAGAAGTAACTGTCAGAACTATTACAACTTAATTGCCACAATGTTTACAAAAGTAATGATCTCTCTTCTAGTTAAGTTTGAAAATATTCTTATGATGTAAACGTTGTTCTAAAACAGGTTTTTTTATATCAATAATGTATGCTGGGATGAACAATTTCAGTCTTCATTATTGGATGTTGTTGTGACAACTATAATTTGTTTTTTTTTTGTTGTGTAGATTTAAGAAAGAAAACAATCATGTAAACTCGAGAAAGAGAAGCCCATGCAGTCCCCCTAAAAGTTACCCAAAGAAAGGCAAAGGAAGCTCCTCTGGTAGTCAGTCGGGAAGTCCCAGTCCAAAACTGAGAGGGAAGACACCACCTAGAAGTTACAAAAATCCAGATAGGCCACACTCCCGTTCTAGGTCAAAACACCGGCCTTCTCACAAACCAAAAAGGAGTCGATCGTCCAGTCGAACTCCTCGCAAGCACCTAAAGAAAAGTTACAAACGATCTCTAGACAGAAATCATCATCATTCTACTTCATCTCATAAATCAAGAAAGGAAAAGTCCAAAGAAGTAAAGTTGCGCAGAAGTCGATCTAGAGAACGTACTAGAAGATAGTTAATACCATCCGTTTAATTCTGCCAGAGTTTTGTTGTACAAATCATGACATTATTTGTGTGTAATATTGTGTTTAATGAAATAAAAGTTTGTATTGTTCTTATGAAAGTCTAATAATTAAATACACAAAACCACATATGGAAATGGAAGAAAATTTATCTTCATTGACAGCTGATACACTAAAGACAGGTTCACCAATACAAAATATTAACTGAGCATGCTCCTAAAGAAAACATTAATAAAACAAATTAAAGGGAGGTTTACTTTTTTTTTTTATACTTAACATTTCATTAAATCCCCAAAAAATTAAAAAAAATTGAGCTTACAAGCTCAAAGGTTTGGATTGTGTAATAAAAACTATGCCTTTCAAGCACACTTATTAAGATAATTTACCTCCTCATGCATACATGTTGTATCTGCCACATAATTACAACTAAGTCCAAAGTTCAGTTCTAACGCCACATGGTGAGTACAAATCAAAAACATAAAGGAAGCATCCATTAAAATCCTTATAAATACATTCTTTGATAATAAAAATTCTTGCAATGATACAAATACAGTTCCAAGTCATATGATGCTCAATATTTAACGATTTTGTAACAATTTTTACAGTGATTATTTAATGAATGCCTCCTGAACCAATGGGTGTATTATACACACAGGAATGGAGCAAAAGCTTTGCATTTGATAAAGAAGCTATTCTGATGTCACCGATATAAAAATATTACAATCAACTTTACAAATTTGGACGGTCAGTGACCACAATCATTTAAGTCCAGCTTCTCTCTCTTATGCAAACCTTTTCCTTATAAAGAACACCAACTGGTTTATAATAACTACATGTATATCATCTTATTAATTAGCAACAAGAGACATTGATGTCATACTAGAAATGGTAATAGGTTTTCTCCACACGTACACTTAACAGAGTCTAGGAAGAAAACACTTCAACAGACAATCTTGGTCCATCTTGAATTATATATACAGTATTTCGAGTTCTTGATTAATGTTTTTTCTTGTGTGTGTGTGTAGAATTACAGTTGCACATCACAAAGCATCTTATTCTAATCTAATAGCTAACTACAAGAGAACAGTACATCATTATTTTTCTAGACATCGGCATTTTATCACCAAATTTTAAAGTGAAAGATTACCCACGTGCAACGCTATGATTAAAGTTGCCACCATTAACACAAAAGGTTGTCACTACTCGGAAAATGATAATCGGGTGTCTTTGAAGTTTACTCTTAACAAATTACTTCTCAATACAAAAAGCATTTACCTAGCAAGGGTATTCTGTCGGGCTAAGGTTTAAAGTGAAACTGATTCACAAATTTAACCATATTGGCACTCGGATAAGCCAAAATTAGTTAACTGGTCTGTACAAAGTTCAGTCTGCAATAGGCATTAGTTCAAACCTTTTTTTCTTTTTTGAAGTGCCAAGAATCAACATGAATGTTAGTCTTAAAGATATGTTTTTGATGGTTACAATTCTGTCTAAACATCCATCACGTGATCAATGACAAATTTCCACCAAAAATAACAGAAATTGTGCACTTTTACAAATTAAGAATATCTATACAGCATTTAAACGTGTCAATTTTATCCAAATATAAACTATATCAAAGTTTACTGTCAAATTACTTAAGCACACCTGACACAGTGAACACAATGTTTGTTGTATTTGACGAAAGCTGGTAGAAATTAGAATGTTCCCTTTGCAGTGAGATTCTGAAAGTACATCAGCCCTTCGAAAGATGAATACAATTAATCCTGATTTTAAACGTATTGAAAGGAACAGCCATCGTATACATACAAACTTGTGATTTATCAAATGGTTTCGTCTGTATGGAACTTTCTAAGTGAAGAGGAACAGACAAGTCATCACTTTCTTTGTGGTCGTCTTCGAGCTGTCCTCCTTTCAGGCTTAGAGTTGGCTCCAACAGAGAAGAGAGTCCCACCCTGGGGTGTCCCGGGTCTTGAACTAGGTGCTGGGTTTCCAAATGAGGAGAGAGGTGTAGCTCCTAAGGGTGTAAACAATAGGTGAGATATTTAAAGAGTTACACATACAAAAATGTATGAAAAAACCCACTCACTAACTACCAACATCACAGAATGATGTATACATTTATTTTACAGTAGCTGATGGAAATGACACAGGGGTTCCCTAGTGTGTATGTGGGGTTTAGATCTGAATACCAACCCCAAGATTACATGCCAGCAGTTTACCCGTTAAACCAGATTGTTGTCACATAATGGTATAAAGAGAGATTGATGGAGATGACACAGGGGTTCCCTAGTGTGTATGTGGGGTTTAGATCTGAATACCAACCCCAAGATTACATGCCAGCAGTTTACCCGTTAAACCAGATTGTTGTCACATAATGGTATAAAGAGAGATTGATGG